ACAATCGACATAAACAAAATTTTCACAATAAACGGCGGCCAGGTACTTTCACCTCAGCAAATCAAAACGTCACAATGGACAATGCCAGTATTTGTACCTCCGCTTCTACCAAATCATAAACACTACATCACAAACACTACAACAAGAAGGAATGCTATTGAGACTCAATGCCAATAGTCTTACTTCAACACTTAGAAAGGCTTATCCTTTCTAATAATTCACGGAAAGGGGATGCTGCTACGCAGTCTTACACAACAACAGAAATATCCAAGGAAACACAAATCCAGGTCACATGCCTGTACGTCCTATATGATACTTCAAAAACACAATACTCAAATCACAAACTAACACATTTTAGACCATCAACATATCTCCACTACAACATCTGACCACACAAAGACACGGAAAGACACAAAACTAACAGACAGAAAAAACATCACAACACTTTCGCTATGTATTCTCAACAAATCGGCCTTAGCCAGGAATACACGAAGTCGTATCATTATCTCTCTTCTACTTGTACACAAAAAAGAACTAGGGAGAAACACAAGACTAACAGACAAAAGAAAAATAACAATACTCCGCTTTGTCACTAACAAATCGGCCTTAGCCAAGGACAAACGGAATCGTATCATCATTTCCTCCTACTTATAACACAGAATAGGAACAAAGAAAACACGGGGAAACACGGAAATAACAAACATAAGGCAAATAACAATACTTCGCTTTGTCACTAACAAATCGGCCTTAGCCATGGACAAACGAAATCGCATTATTACTTCCTCCTACTTATAAAACAAAAGACAACACGAAAAAACACATACGTGGACTGTAAATCAGAAACATTTTCCTTTTCGGGGCTTAAAAAAAATTCACACATTGCCTGGACTATTAAACTCTAAGATACGAAAAAAATTGACCTATATTTTTCGTACAACAGCTGATTTCTGAAACGCAAAGACTCAATAAGAAGACGAAATAGATAATTTATAAACACTTAAAGAAAGACAGCGTCTACATACGAAATAAATTATTTCGTTAACGTAAACAAAATTCTTTTCTCAGACATGGATGATACTTAAGACGAACATGGAATAAACAAACTGATATCGTTCACATTTTAAAATACCGGCAAATAAGGAATGACATGCATTCCAAATACGTATTTTTTAATTCACAAGGAAATAGACGAAAATTATTTCAACGTAATTTTACGAAAACTGGACACAGAAGAAAATGGAAATCGTAGCAGTTAACTTGGGACAGGAATAGACTTGATTTAACGAAAAACTGGATAAAGCAAATCACAATATAACTGAAAATACAATTCGAAGCAAACTCCACGAACTTCACATACAGGGTGGGACAAAAATACTGAAACAATGATTGGGTGAAAGCAAATACACAATGTATACAAAACAACATACTCGATAAACTTCACATACAAGGTGATACAAAAATACTAATAATATTGAAAACTTGACTTTTGAGTGAGCTACACAAAATAACACAACATTAAAAAACCTTGCTCTTGTTCTGAAAACTAAATGAGACTGCTCCTAGGCAAAACTAAACAGCACCTCCGATCACGAGTATAACACTTGTCATCATTCAGATACAAGACAGGAAACACAAAAGGGGACTCAGGGGAACACAATCTCCTATTAACCCGTGGCATTACATACGCCGTCAAAGCTGGTTAATTAGGGAACAACAGGGGAACACAGGGGACTACTCTTCACATTCACAATCTCCTACTAGCCCGTGGCATAACACAAACGCCGTCAGAGAGGGCTTAGAGGAAACAATGAAATGGCATAGGACAAACGACAAAACAACAACTATACTCATCAGCTCAAAGAAAAGTCACTCAAACAATAAACACATTTACTCAAAATGACCAGACAAAACAAAATTACAAAAACCGATTTTTCTGTAAGAAATGTCAAATCAATCAAAAATAAATGGCACAATAACGGTACACTTAATTTGTTACTGTAAATAACTTAAAACTCAATCAAAATATTAAAATCTCAAAAATATTTGCTTTCATTTACCAATACACAAAAATACATATAGAAAAATTTCTACAGTACACGAAATAAAAGAAACAACATTACATATGTCAAATACAACAAATACATCTGTTGATATACAATAATACATATGTCAATACAAGAACAATACATAAAAAAAACAACAATACATATGTTGATACAAATACATAAACAAACTGTTTGTGGGACACCGGGGCACTACTCGGAAGGCAGGGTTTCATAAAAATGGCAGAAAACTATGGCAGAAAAATTGAAAAAGATATGTGGCTTGGGAAAAAGGTCAAAAATCTAAAAATTAAGGAATATTCAAAAGCCTCGCACGTTGGGAGCCATTTTTGTAACGAAAATATTTTGCCTACCACAGGGGGCATTAATACGGGATAGAAAATTGGGGGAAGAAACTATTGGGGGTGGAGATAGGGCAAGCAAAATAATCGCTACTTGTGCGAACGGACACTCAGGGTTTCGCAGGAGAGCTGGGGTCGTGGATAAGTAAAATGGGGGTTAGAATGGGGCAACTACAACAAAAAGAAATAAAGGGCTTTTGGGATAAACAGAATAAAAATAAACAAGAAAACACCTCAAGAAATTTGATTATAGGGCGCCACTTGAGGTGCCTAATTATGCCTATTACAACCACTAGTTGTAACTAGGGAAATAATTAGAAAATAAAATCAAAAATAAAAAAACATATCTTTTTCAAATAAACTCAATAAAGGGTTAGCTCAAAAAAAAATAAAATGTTAAGACAACAAAATTTAACATTTATTTATGTCACCACAAACAGTTATACAAAATATAAAATTATGCAAAATATATATAATTAGTTACAAATACATAAAGACTATATTAATAGCCACAAACGTAGATATAGAAAGAAACAAAGAAAAACTGACATGTGTCCTATTTTTGTTTACAAGTGGACATAAGTGTCAAAGAAAAAATTATTACAAGTAACGAATTTTCTTTTAATGAAACTATTCATAAAGAAATTAACCTTCTTAAAAAAAAAACGAAATAAATTTTATTACAGATTCTTAAATTTTAAACGAAAGCAATTATTGTTATTTGAACAAAAAAAGTCTATTTGAAAATTATACACAAAATGTTACCTTTAATTCATATAAAATTTTGCACTGAAACTTGTGAGGATTAAACGAGAATTTACTGGAACCCTCTGCTATACAGAAGGACTGCTTCAAACTGGACTGGAAAGACTACCAGAGACAAATAAAAATGAGGTTGGAACCAAATCAACGGCACATTGTGGGCACATTCTATACGCTTCTTATATTTTCCATATTCATATTCTGGTATACTGCACAAATCCCGTAAATATTTAACAAAATATTTAGTGGCTACTCTTTCTTAATCTGTCATATTACAGAGAGTAATTTCCACATCTTGCCGGTCTTGACCACTTAAACCATTATACAAAATTGTCGGTTCTGCTGCCCACACGTCCAACTTCAACTTCACTATTTCTAATAACAAAAATGCAATAACGAATTAAAAGAAAATCCGGACTAAACAATGAAACCGACTGACTTTGGCAGCGATTCCACCGAGAGTGACGAAATTAAAAATTTGTTCGCTTAACTCGAAAATCAACGAACTGCTGATATAGCAAAACCAACGAACGACGTAGATATCCTTTGAGACGCATTTACATGAAAAGAAATCGCCGCAGTAAAATAAACAACAATTAAATGGATTTATTACTCTACGACGTTAGAATGATTGAAAACACTTTTCGAAAGATACGAACTAAAAAACAGAAAACATTCTTCGTTTTATTAAGACGATTTCATATACGAGGCGACTTTAAATATACTTCAAAGAATCAATCAAATTTAAAATGCTACACGTCGGTTTTATCTTTGTTGGCGAGCCACAAATCTTCAAGGGTACATCGATGAGAACAGTTTCTGCATGTAAGAAGATGTTCCATATTCTGTGTTTCTCTACAGTCACAGTTCACATCATCTTGGTTTATTTTTCCCCATTTTGCCATGTTTGATTTTACTGTAGCAACCCCCGTTCTTATCCTATTCAAGGTTTTCCACATTTTAAAGTCTAGGGTCTGGCCGGTCCATTGAACCTGGGGAAGTGGAAAATACTCAGGCGGTTCATCCTTCACTGTTCCAAGGAAGCTTTTCCTAGATTTTAGTCGCTTTCGTGGTGTTCCAGCTTTGTATAGGGCATGCCGATCGTCCGCGATCTGTTTAATTTTCTCTATGTGTTCTGCATCGCCTCTACGTGTTGAGGGTTCTGCAAAACCCGCTGCTCTATATAGATTTGAAAGTGGCGTTGGTTTCATGCACCCCGTTACTATCCTGCATGTCTCATTTAGCGCAGTATCAACTTGTTTGGTGTGGGCAGATCTGCTCCAAACGGGGCATGCATATTCAGCAGTTGAGAAACACAGTGCCTGTGCCGTTGTTCTTAAAACGCCAGGACGTGCGCCCCATTTACTTCCCGTTAGCTTTCTGAGTATGCTGTTCCTAGTTGTTACTTTCCCTCTTGTTTTTATGCAATGTTGTCTGTAGGTGATTAGTCTGTAGTGATTAGAGTAATTGTCTGTAGGTCTGTGTGTGAAACTCTACTTCTAATAACTTTTCTTGTTGCTATGGTAAAACAATATTTTTTTGATCTTTAGAACTTTTTTCACCAAACTTGTCTAGGCTAAGTAGATATCAATACATCCTCCCATATACTTATAGTGTCTACCATTAATTTTGTTTTGCTTTGTTGTTTTGTTCCACAAAACCAGTGCAACATCAGCAATTGTGGGTCTGGCAACTATTATATATGATTGCTAGGCCATTTAAGATTTTAAACTGTTTTGCTGCAAAGTCTGCTGCACATCCAAATACCTACTGTAGATGATAGTATAGTATTAAATTCATATGATTATTTATATAATTTTGGCTCCAATTTTAGGTATCTAGTATACATGAACAAGACTGCAGCTTTGATGACAATTATGAGTCTGTAATTTCAACTGATTACAAGTATAGTATCTTAACATCATTAACAGCAGAAGAAAAATCAGTAATAGATTCATGTGAAGACTTTGATCTTAAACACATATTGATCCTCAATAGGCAGAAGAATATGTCACTCATTGAACATTACAAGAAACTCAAAGATCTTTTAATAGAGTGTCAGAGTAATATCTTAGATATAAATGCGATAATTCATGAAAAAGTTAATGATAAAAAAATGTACTCTAAATCTTCCAGATCTTGGAGATTGGGTGCACCTTATTTTAAGGACAAACTTAATTTTCCAGCACCTTTAAATGATGAAGCTTTACAAAAGAAGTTATCTGATGAACAGACCATTTATGATTTCATTGTGATCAAAAGATGGTCTTCACTTGAGTGTGATTCAGTTATTAGAGCTGTTAAACTAAACTATAGTATAAATACAATTACTCATATCCGAAATGAAATTAAGAAGTTAGAACTTTCCAACGATGGGAATAAAACTGAAAAAATTATGGAGTTGCAAGAGAAACAAAAACAGTTTGATGACCAGGATAATCTACCTATTCCTCCCTTGGAGTCAGATGAACACATTAATTGGATAAGAGTATCTGAAGTATTTCTTAGAGGTAAAATTTTCTTTTTAAATCTTTTGTCACTGAAGTAAACATATATAATTTGCAAATAATTCATATTTATTTTTTGTACTTAATACACACAGTTTGTTCTTTATCAACATATTGCCAATATAATTGAATATTTACTCATTCTGACTTTAGTCGCAGAATCATAATACTCACAGTAAAATTCTATTAATGACAGTACATAATTTTATTTTTATTATTAAGTTAATGCCTCGACAACTAAGATCATTGGCATGGTACAGTCAGGTACCTAGTGTAGTGTGTGTGTGTGTGTGTGTAGAGTAATTGTCTTGATACTTAGCAAAGTCGACGTCATTGTCTTTGCTAAGAGACGCTAATTGTATCCGAACGTCTGCGGTCCCTCCGGTGAGTACCGATCGCACAAGGATGGAAATTATTTTCATTCATTAATTTTTAATAAACGAAAATTTCTCCACCCAGATGAGATTCGAACTCACGACCTTTAGGTTTAAAGGTAGGCGCTCTTACCAGTGAGCCACAGAGGGGGTTAGTACAGGATTAAATTCATAAATAAATTAATAGTAAATCATTTTGAGGGAGACAGGCCAGTATTTTATTTTAGAAAGTTTTAACAGTTTTTCTTTGGTCCTTTGTATTCTATGTATTTTTTGAGTTATCTTTGACTAAGATGCAAACATATTATGTACACTATAAAATTCATTTCTCATGATTAGGTTTAATTTCATCATCATTTATCATTTAAAATCATCATCATCACGTAGCGCTACAACCCTGGGTGGGTCTTGGCTGACTGAACAAATTTTTTCCAATTTGTTCGGTCTTCCATCAACCTAGGGTCAAATGGAATGTTCATTTTCCGGAGATCTGTTTGGATGTTATATCTCCATCGCATTTTGGGACGTCCGAGTGGTCTTTTGTCTGTGGGAATCTCCTCCCATACCAGTTTCACGAGTCTTTCGTTATGCAGTCTGTGCACGTGGCCTGCCCATCTTAGTCGCTGTGATTTAATTTCTTGGACAATATCGGCGTCGTTGTAGAGTGCTTTTAATTCGATATTGCTTCTGATCTTCGGCCGACCTCATGGCTTTCTCTAATACAAGGTTAAAAAGTAGTGGAGATAACGCATCACCCTGTTTAAGTCCACTGTTGATTTCAAAGCTGCCAGACAGTTTATTATTTACACGTACTTTAGATATTCCACCCTCCATACAGACTTTGGTCATCCGAATTAGTTTCTTTGGTACTGAGAACTCCGCCATGGCATTCCATACTTGGCTTCTTTCTACGCTATCATATGCCTGTCGAAAGTCTATGAAAAGATTGTATATGGGTCTGTTATACTCCCATCCCTTTTCTAGAAGTTGTCTCAGCGTGAATAGTTGATCTATTGTTGATCTGTTTGCCTTAAACCCGGCTTGATATTCGCTTAGGACATTTTCAGCATAAGGTATTAGTCTACTAAGAATGATGTTTGAGAGGGTTTTATATGCCGTGTTTAGAAGTGAGATTCCTCTATAATTCGCGCATTTTGTTTTGCCCCCTTTTTTGTGGATGGGCACTATTATGTTTTCCTTCCATCGTGCTGGTATTCTTTCTTCTAACCATATGTGCGTTATTAGCTGGTGGATTTGGCGATGTAGTGCGTCTCCCCCATATTTCAGAAGTTCTGCTGGTATCTCGTCCGTACCCGGCGCTTTGTGATTTTTCAGCTTATTTATATGGATATATATATATATATATATATATATATATATATATATATATATATATATATATATATATATATATGTATATATACAGTCAAAATCATTTATAACGAACTCACGCACCACAAATCACAGTGGTGAGTGAATTTGTTACCTGTGAGTAGAACATCCACGAAAGACAAATCTCAATAACGTAAGTTATTTATACTCACATTTATACATTTACACTCTTTATAGATTTCGAGGATGCTTTACTAACAGTAGCACTTTATTTCAGTTTTTCCTGATGATGAAAATAAACATTTTCGAAGGCTTGAAACTTAGTTAAAAAACTACACTTATTTCACCGCTGCAAATCCCAAATATATATATATATTATATATATATATATATATATATATATATATATATATATATATATATATATATATATATATATATATATATGTATATATGGTAATGTATATTATATTCTAACTCAACTGCCCATATTTTCCGAGGGCATCCTGTGCAGGGCTTTCGTCGTGGGTGGTAGTAGAAATTTTATTTCTGTTACATGTATTTGTAATATGTGTTTTTGTTTTATTATCTATGTAAGCCTCACAACCATACAGAAGTATTGGTACGACCATTGTCTTATAAAACTTTAATTGAGTATCTTTTCTGCATTTATTAACTAACGTTATTGTTTTTGTGCTGCACATTTTCAACCTACAACCAGTAAAACATAGTTTGAAATCATTTATATTGTAGCGATATCACTTGTTTGATACGTACTATAGAAAAGATAAACGTAAATCAGATGCTATATTACTGTCATCAACGCAAACGGTTTCCGATGTGAGTTCCTTTACAGATACATATCGTCGCTTGGATGCAGAAGTAGCCTAAGTCACAAAATGTTAATTTTACAGGAGAGCATTTTTTTGTTTTTTTCTCAAATTATTATAAAATTCTTTTATCAGAAAATTGTATAACAATGTTTAAGAAGCTATTTTCCCTACAGTTCATTTCTTTTATGATAAAAGCCACGTTCTAAAAAAAGATGGACATAGAATAGTAAAGTCTCAACTGATATAGTCTATGTCCAAAATTGGACATAGAATATATTTACATGGAAGTACTTAGGCTAGTTCTGATTAATCCTATTATTAATAGGTATAAATTATTTTAACAATAACAGTGTACTTACTCATAAATCGTATATTATCGGCTTTAACGTTTAACAAACCAGTTTCTGAAATTATTAACAACTGTGCCGTGTTTAAAAAAAAAGCAGGAAATATAATTACTACTTAAAAAATCGAACAGATGGAACAAAAAAGAAAATAAAACAAATAAATTTAACTTAAAATTAGGAACTGAAATTAAACAATTATTAATATTTAAACATGATTTTCTGAATCTTCCCCTGTTCTCTTTTCGTCATAAGGTAGGTTTTTAAAAAAGTCATGATATTGACATGATATAACTGTTTTGTGGCAAATAAATTGCAAATGTTCGTATTTCTTTTTGGTTAATGGAATTTGCCTCGTATAGTTTGGCTTCAGTTTAATATCTTCTATATTAATTTGAAGTGTCTTTCTACCCTTTTTGACCAGATTATTATTTTTTCATTGAATGTCTTTCAAATTGTATTTAAAAAACACATATTTGGATAGTCTGGCCGGGTTTGTAGAATTCTTAATTTGTTCCAGTGAACTTTCTTATTAGATTCATCCTTGTCCCAATTAATGGATTTTTGTCCTAGAAGTTCTTTTAAATCAAATATATTTTCTTGGTCTAATTCAACGACGTTATACGGGTTGTTCCTCTTTGCATTTCTGACAATTGTGTACCATTGATGAGGAGAATAGACTGGAATATTACGTAATGCTCTTTCAATCACACTATTCTCCCTCATTTTGTGTGTGCCCTCGTTCCAGAATGCTATGGCAAATTGTTACCTTATATAATTGAGAAATGTAATGGTATAATGAAAATAAGTATTTATTTCTATTTTGTCCGGCACAATTGTCAGTAAAAAGTGAAAACTTATTCGTACCTTGAACAATATTACTCTTTATAAAATTCAAAAGGCAACTACCTATTTTACACGAGCCTCTCTTGTCTTTGGTTTTTTTACCACATATAATAATTGCATTCCTTATTACCCAGATTGAAAATAGTAAAGTTATAAGTTGATAATTTTAGCTTATAATACGTTAATCCAACTTCCCACTTTGATACCTGAAGTAGTTGTTGTAAATCTAAAACTGCACAACAAATCTGTTGATTCTCCTCAGCTCTTTTTTTTTCTGCATCCTTAAATTCCCTGGCTAAATTCTTGATTTTCAAGTGAAGTTGATACATTTCTTCAGCTGCTAATTTCTCTTCACTAGACGATTGTTCGAATCCATGACAAATATCGCACAAGTCTTTCCTTTGGCTGAAAGAATGACATTAAAATCTGAATTAAATACAGCCCTGTATGTACTTCCCGTTGCTACTTCAGTAATTTTCCTATCGGAACGATATTCCTTATATCAATAATACGTTCTGGAAATGTTAAGAGATGCAGGTAAATACAAACGTGTTGTGTTTTTTCTGCAATAGTGACTTTCAATTGTCTGAAAGGAATTTAAATGTTCTCGAACGGATTCTTTGACAGATTCGTTGAGTAAGGAGTTTTTGCAGGCCTTTCCTCTTCTGTCTTCGGAAATCGTACCAGTGGAACAAGTTTTATTAAGTACAGTTTTAACAACCTAGGTACTTATACAAAAAGTATCTAAAAAGAAAATCTTACACACAGGTACTTTGATGTTGCCCTTTATAAAAGAATAATCAAACGTGAATGTTCTTCTACTCTGTTGGTTTGGAGAAGGCGATTCTTCATTTTTCTGTAGAGCAATATTTATATTCTTTTGGTTAATTTTTGTTCTTTCTTTATTTTTTTGCGCTAATTTTGAAACGAAATCTCGTTGTCTGTTGATGTCTCCAAGATTCCAGTAACGATCAAATATAGATTGCCTTTCTTCTTCAGAAATCTTCTCTCTACATTTCATTCTACAATGGCATGGATCTTTCATTTTTCGGGATGGTTGAAGTTTATTTTTCCAAGAGTTGTATTCCTTTTCGCTATTTCGAGATGTCTTTACTATATTTCTTCTTCAGGAAATCGGGTTTCCTTGTCTTTTGCGTGACTGTCTTATTGAGACTTCTTGATCAGGTTCCTGATCAAAACAACTTTGGGTTCATTTTACTCGTTATCGGAGCTATTTTAAATCGCAAATAAGCCTATGTCCTCAATATCTATACGTAAATTTATGCAGAACTAGTCTATGTCCGGCTAAGCGACGGAGATACGATCGGTTCACTGCGGTGCTCTTACATAGACTGATTCTACATGAAAACTAACAACGGTACTGAACATAAGCTAGTTCGAGGTTTGATCGATATGAGCACTAGTTGTAAAGATGGACATACAATACTTCTGTATCCAATGTAATGATGCTTTTACTTTTAAATGGACCTTAAATATCAAATTAGGCAAAAATTGACATAGGCTACTTCTGCATCCAAGCGACGATATATCTTTTTTAGAATCTATGTGTAAATATGTATTCCCACTGGTGGAAATATGTATAATTTTATTATGAAATCACTCTATCACTGGTGATAGGTAAATACCGCAGTAAATTAGGCCAAAAATATAGTTATATGATTAGTTCAATAAATAATTTCATTACAAGCTAATACATTCACTATGAACCCAAAAAAAACTGGTCCCAGAATTTAAAATACAAATGTCGACCGGTGGGCACGTGAGCTTAACGTGTTAATAAAATACTAATTTTGTTTTAGATAAACATTCTGACTTCGAATGTCGTTCAATGTGGCATATGTTTCTTCACCCTAATCTAAATAAGTCACCTTGGAGCTCCGAAGAAACTAAAAAAATGTTAAACTTAGTTCAAAAGTACAAACGCCAAAACTGGGTTGCGATAGCAAAAGAACTTGGAACTAAGAGGACTTGCTTCGGAGTTTTTATTAATTACATTAACAATTTCCACAATACACTTAAAAAGGGAGGATTTACACGTGCAGAAGATAAAAAATTAGTAAATTTGGTGAGGAAATTTAGGTAAGACTTTAATCTTACCTATGCAATTAAAAATATGCATTATTTATTACTTTTCCCTTCTGGTTCTTAATATTTTAAGACCAGTTTTATCATCGAGTTAATTTTTATCGCTGTTATGTGACCACCTTTTCCTCGCACGTCTTAGAACTTTTTTCCTTTTAATGATCAATTATATTTTTCTGATTCTCCACTAGTTTGTATCTCTTGCTAGCATTGTGTTGTAGCATTTCTATTTCTTTTCGTTCATGTTAAAACACCGAAAAATATTTTCAATCTTTTTGCGTTACTGATATTGATAATATAATCATTTTAAGTTTGTTTATATATCACAGATGTGTATTTCTTTGATTGTGATACCGCTTAATATTGCGCGTCAAATAAATATCTACTTAGGTTGGTGAGAAAGTATTACGGGGAAGAGAATTTTTAATTTGAAAGGTGAATTTGTACTCAAATGCGATCTGGCAGTTTTTGATGAGTTAATCACCGATTTGTTCGTGCTGCGTTTTATCTGAGAGATTTGTAAGACGGCGTTTCCAACAATTTGAGAGGTCCACATGGTTTTAAGAAGAAATTGAGTGTTCGAGTTTTGAGGATTGCAGTTAATTGTCATCCAGGATAATCCGAAGCCTGAACCAGTGTCCAACTTCCAAAGAATTGTTTATTTGTGTTCCCTGGTCACTTCAGACCAATTTACAGCTTGTGTGGGACAAAATTGTGTTTGTTTGCAGTTTTTTGATCCAGTTCCAATCCCAAAAAACTTCCTTATATGAAATACATCAGCCAGAGTGATATAACATACTTTTTGTTAAAATCTAATCTAAGATAATTGTCATATTATTCTTCTTTTGAATGCAAATAATTTTAAAATTTAATAAATATTTCAAAAAGGTTTGATATTTCATTTCGACATATGACAATCAGTATTATCCTTTTTCGGACATTTGGTACATAACCATAAATTTGAATTGTTTTGTTTGAAGGTTAACCTCAATGTAAGCTCCGTTGAAAAATCTAGATATTTTCATTTCTAATAATAATTTTAATTTCTAAAGTATCGCCCAACATCTGGAGCTTGTTCTAAATCGTTACAAATAACGCCATTGTAAGTTTTGTTGATACATTTTGTTAATATTTTTGATGTGAAGTAATAATAAATATGTAATGTTTCTCTCTAAACCAGCAGTTGTAGAATTGTTTCATTTAAAAAGATTTTCACCTTTTAATACTTTCTAGAGTCTTCTAGATTCTTAGAGATTCTTTCTAAGAATTCTAAATTGAATAGAATTGTAACAATTGACATTATTGTTGATATTGCCTGTCAAGAAGTAACTTTTTCTGTATTTACTTTTAATAATATTTATACTCGTATATTATCTTCTTCTTTAAGTGCCATTTCCGCGACGAAGGTTGGCAATCATCATGGCTATTCTGACCTTCGAGGCAGCTCCTCTGAACAATTGCCCTGCAACCAAACCACTCTCTCAGGTTCTTCAACCAGAAAACGCGGCTTCTTCCTACGCTTCTCCTACCCTCTATTTTTCCTTGAATTATGAGTATCAAGATGTTGAATCTTTCGCCTCTCATGTCCGAGATATTACAATTTCCTTTCTTTTATTGTATTTTCTATTTCCTTCTCTCTGTCTATTCTCCTTAACACTTCTGCATTCGTGACTCTATCTACCCATGAAATCCTTAACAATCTTCTAAATGTCCACATTTCAAACGCGTTGTCGTATATTATATAAAAGCACAATTTAAGTTACATTTGTATATGCGGCCGCATAAAAAAAATTATTTTTAAAATAGCTCGTCGTCCGAAAATGGTTGACGACCCTTGATCTGTAGGATATTTTTTTTATTTGCAAAGTCACACTCTTTAGCAATCAAAACGCAAATTATGTTCTATAAGCTAATTTGCTGGATGCGGAGCAAAGGGCTCCTATTGGCTTGTTAAGGTTTTCTCCAGTGACAAGACCACTTTAACCGTTTCTCAGGTCAGCCGACCAGTTCCTTTTGAGATTCCTATTGGCATTATGTTCTATTAAAAGTTGAAGTTAGGGATTACTGTGTGAATCATGCTGCTTCGTGTTATATTTAGTGATCACATACTATATATGATCGGGATTCTTAGGTCTCCATGAAGCGTTACACATACCAGGGTGCATCAGTTAATGTTCGCAGTAGTTTCGATTGGCTTTTTTGAATTATGGTTGTATTTGACTTGCTTGCACATCCCCAGTGTTGGATTCCATACGTCCAGATAGGTTTTATGATAGCTTTATTGACAAGGATTTTATTTTCTAGAGCCAGTTTCGATTTCCTACCGACTAGCCAGTTTATATCTTTCATTATTAGTCAATTTGTTTCCGCTTCTTAAGAATATGTTCTCTCCAATTGAGTTTTGAGTCAAAATGTATTCCTTGTATAAGTATTTGGTGCTAGAGTTTGGATACTTGTATGAGTATTTGGTGCTAGAGGATTAAGGAAGTTGGATAAATGAAACTGGGAGACACTGGTCTCTTCTAAGGTAAAAGTCACTTGGACTGATTTTGTTTCATTCATTTTAATTCTCCACTTATTTGACCACGTCTCGATTTCATTCAGTCGTACCTGTAGAATGTTAGATGCTATAGTTAGATTTTCGTCGACTTCCTTCTGCAAACGTACCAGTGATGGTTTCAATATTTGAGGGTAGATCTGTTGTGTATAGCACATAATATAATATTCGTCCAAGAACGCTGCCCTGTGGGACACCAGATTTTATGGGAAAATTATTGGAATTACTTTCATTCACTCTTGTTCAGAATTCTCTCCCACTTAGATAGGATTTTAAGAGTTGCTTTAAGAAATATTTTAGGTGATTGTAGGGTATTTTTTGATTTTGAAAATCAGGCCTGTGCGCCAAACCTTGTCAAAGGCTTGACTAACGTTTAGAAAGGCAGCTTTGCAGTACTGTTTGCTTTCCATTGCAGAATTTATGGGGTGTACTATTGTGTGAACCTGTTGAGTGTTCTTTTCGAAAGCCAAATTGGTGGTTGAGTATCCATTGCTCTGTATTGGGGTTTGAGTTAATTTTTTGTAACAGTAACCTTTCAAGTATTTTGGATGCAATTGGTAGTAGATTTATTGGCATATATGATGAAACGTCATGTGGATTTTTTCCTGTTTTTAGAATTAGTATTATTTCAATGGTTTTAAAGAGTTTCGGTCAGTAATTTGACCAGAATGACATTGAAGATGGGAGTAAACAGTATGATTCCTTTATCTGGTAGTTCCTTCTGGGCGTTATTTTGTCCAGCCCAAAAGATTTTCTAATATTTAAATATTAAATTTCTTGTTGAACTTCGTTTTTGGTTAGTGGTCCGATTACTGGAATGTTTGCTGGAATGTTATTTATCTTTCTTTCAATTTCAGTGTCTGGAGCTTCGTTGTTGGGAGTAAATCTTAAGCTAGGTGTTTGGCAAATAGCATTGTTTTCATCATCACTTCTGGCCCTCTGTAGTGTTGGTCCCTGTCGGTTTCTAATTGGAGGTACCGGAGTTTTAGGGTTTTTGGAGTTTTTGATCGGTTTTCCTAATGGGTTGTCTTGTCGGTTAAAATTTGTTATGTAGTTCTTGTCATTCTTTAAGTTTGAATTTTAGTTGATTGCTTAGCCTGTTAATTGTAGTCTGGTCTGCTGGGGCATGGGTTCAGTGCCATTTGGTCCTAGCTTTCCTTTTTTGAACTACCAACTTTTTTATTTTAGCTGGGATGTATTGGGCTTTGCTACCTGTATTGTTCACAGGTGTGGAATTTTGTACAGCCTCTATGAGAGTGTTGTTTAAGGCTGTTAGTGTTTTATTTATCTCCCTTGTTGTTTTGAGGCTTACTTGTAGACTGATATCTTCTTCTAATTCCATCTCTGAACCATCTCTGAAATATATCCCATACATGCTTAAGATCTGACAATTGTGCTGGTTACGGTAAATGAGTAATATCCTCATTACCAAACCAATCTCTTACTGTGGCTGCAGTATGTAGCCTTGCATTATCCTGATTCTAACGCAAATCCGGACCTTCAGCAGTGGCAAATGGAAGGACACCAGGTTCTATGATATGATCAGTATATTGAGATTGATTCAAAGTGCCTTCCACAAAAACGGGAACAGTTTTTATAATCGCGTAATCACGCTCCGAGAAACGTCACAATGACGTGAAACTTGCTTGTCAGCTTTTGAAAGGCTAGCTTGAATCATATTCATAGCACTTACTATCGTTGCGTTTAATAATCTTGTTTTAGTAGAATTTTAAAGAAATCAGACTATCTTTAAAATTTAAAGCATTATTTCTTTAAAATTTGAAGCAATTAATCGCATGAATTTAAGGCGCTGTCACTTTTGCCTGAATAAAACAGTAAAATGAAAATAGACCTACTGGGAATCAGCGAAATGAGATGGCCAGAGTCAGGATCATGTAAAAAGGACGGAAGTGTATTATATTATTCCGGTAACAGCACAGAAGACCCGCATCACAAAAATTTTGTAGGTATATTAGTAACATCAGGAACTGAGTAAATATGTGACCAATTTCGTACCAGTCTCGGATAGAATAATATTACTCCAAATAAATACTCAACCATTTAAAACTAACATACTTCAAATCTATGCCCCGCCGGCAGATAGAAAATATGACGATAAAGTCGAGAAGTTGTATGATCAAATCCAAGACATCTTACAGAAACTTAATAAACACGAAATGCTATATATTGTAAGCGACTTCAATGCAAAAATTAGGGAAGGTTGACGAGGTCAGACTGTAGGTCCTTCTGGTCTAGGACAACCTAACGATCGAGGACAGAGATTGTATGAATTTTGTAAAGAAAACGATATGATCATTGCAAACACCTGGTATAAACTACCCAAGCGACGACTATACACTTGGAAAGCCCCATTTGATGATGGCAATAACCCTGAGTCTTCAAGAAATCAAATAGACTATATACTTGTAAATAAGAGTTTCCGAAATGCCGTCCAAAAAGTCACTATATATCCTGGGCAGATTTTGGATCTGATCATCAACCACTTGTAGCAGATAATAAACTAAGGTTAAAACGAATTCAGTGACAAAAACCAAAAACCAATGAACTTAACTTTGACGATATAAATATAAAACATAACATTAAAAAAGAATTTAGCAATAGAATAAAAAACATCGGAGAACAACTAGAAGATCCAGAAGAACTATGGAGTGAATTTAAAAACCAAGTTAACGAAATCTCCACAAACAATGATTATAGAAAAAACTTAATCAAGAAAAATAAATTGATGACAGACGACATCTTGAAATTAATGAAACAAAGTCGACTGATAAAATCTAATATAATAGAATATAGACACCTGCAGAGAAGAATAACAGAGGAGATCAAATTAGCCAAAGAAAAATGGAGGAGAGAAAGGTGCGACGAAATGGAGGATGTAATATCTAAACACGACTTATTTAATGTGCACAACTAAAAGAAATGAGTAACATATTTGAAAAACGAGTTCCCTCTGTACTCGTATAATATTATCTCGTATAATAATAACAAAATTATTGTAAATGAGCACGAAATAAGAACAAAATGGCAGCTGTATATATATATATATATATATATATATATATATATATATATATATATATATATATACATATATATAAATATACATATATATAAATATACATATATATATATATAAATATATATATATATATATATATATATATATATATATATATATATATATATATATATATATATATATATACATTGGATTTGAAACTTCCGCGGGAGCTATAAGTGATTTCAGTTGTTTTCCGGGTTTGACTCCGCGTTAAGTAATTTTGGTTTTTAGAAAAACCATTGTTTTGACGACGTTTCGGCAAGGTCACACTTGCCATTGTCAAGTCAGATTAGTTCTGCTTCGTCTTGATGTTTCAGGAGAACTGAGTTCTCGGTCGCTGCTCGCTAAGTTTAAATACCTTGAAGCGCTTCTTGTTATTGGTCCTGTGCGCAGAGTGGGCGGGGTCTTCTTCGCTATTTTAATTTCTACGTTTTTCTGCAGAATTGGTTTCCACGTATTTGGGAGTCTTTGGGCATCGTCTCTGGTATTTAAATTTTTTGGATGTTTTTCGATCTCTATGGTTTCCCTGATTACACGTTTGGCCTTATTTTCGATATTGGCTAGCATTGTTGTTCCATTTAAGTCGATTTTGTGTCCTGTGTTGATGGCATGTTGTGCTAGAGATAAAGTTTTCTGTTTTCTTTCGATGGCGTTTCGATGTTCTTCGCGTCTAACTTGTATCCTTCGATTTGTCTGTCCGATGTACGATTTATCGTAGTCCTCACACGGGATTCTGTATACACCTTGATTTTCCAATGCAACTTTTGTTTTTGCCGATGGTAATATGGTTGCGATTTTTTTGTCGGTGTTAAAAATCAGCAGAGTGCTACGTAAAAACAACATAGAAACTATTTTTAGTTATATATATATATATATATATATATATATATATATATATATATATATATATATATATATATATATCTCAGAGTTGTTTGAAGATGACAGTAATAATATTGCCGAATTCTACCAAAACTGTACTGACTGTCCAGAAATTATTAAATGCGAGGTAGAACACTCTATAAATAATGTTAAAATTAGAAAAGCTTGTGGTCTAGATGATGCACCAACTGAGTTGCTGAAACTAATAGAGAATGATAACATAAAAGTAGTAGTAAGACTTTTTAATTCAATATATAACACCGGAATGATTCCCGCAGATTGGCTCAAATCCATCTTTGTCGCAATACTTAAAAAACACAATGCGAGACAATGCTCAGAATATCGATTAATTAGCCTAATGAGCCACACTCTTAAAATTTTCCTCAGAATACTTCACAACAGAATTAGACGCAAATGCGAAGAAGATCTTGAAGATACCCAATTTGGTTTAAGAAATGCTATGGGAACCAGGAGGCACTTTTTGCGCTTAACATCCTATTACAAAAATGCCGTGACCAAAGAAAAGATGTATTTGCATGTTTCGTGGACTTAAATCGTGTCATGAAAAATTTGTACTGGAATCAAACTGCTATCGTAAAAATTGGAGATAACTACATTGAATTGCTCAATGTTTACTCGTCCAGTTATTTAAAAAGGCACTTGAGAGACAACCATATGGAATAAAAATCAACGGGGAACTACTTAATGTGATATTGAAGGTCTTCAAATTCTGCTTGATCGTATTCACGAGGTAGGAGAGGAAATGGGCATTAAAATAAACTCAAACAAAACCAAATTTTTAGTGTTTAGTCGTGACCCACATCCCGATGCAAAGCTTCAATTAAACGGAGTCCAAGTTGAGACAGTTCACAAAATGACATATTTGGGAACTGTGATAACGGACCAACTAGATCCAGACTTAGAAATAAAACGTAGAATAGCAATGACTAAAACTACTTTTATAAAAATGAAGTCATTTCTTTGCAATAACTATCTCAGTTTAGAACTAAGGCAAAGAATGGTTAAGTGCTATGTTTGGTCCGTACTTCTGTATAGTGCAAGAGTGTGGACGCTAAAAGTATCGATCCTGAACAAAATTGAAGCATTGGAAATGTGGGTTCATAGACGAATGCTGAAGATACCTTGGACAGCAAGGAAAACTAATGAAGAAGTACTAAGGAGCGTCAACAAAGATAGAGAACTGCTAAAGACTGTTAAACATCGAAAAATGTCTTATCTGGGACATATAGCAAGGGGAAGTCGATATAAAATATTACAACTGATCCTTAAAGGCAAAATAGAGGGCCGTAGAGGTGTAGGAAGAAAACAAGTTTCTTGGTTAAAAAACATTCGTGAATGGACTCAGATATCAAATGCAGGACAATTATTCCATATTGCATAAGATCGAGAAGCCTTCGCAATGGTGATCGCCAGCGTCGGATAATTCTGATATGGCACGCGAAGAAGAAGAAGAAGACAGTGCAATTGACAGAATAATTTAAATGACATACCTTGATTTGTAGAAAACTCAAATCGAATGGTATGTATTAACAAAATAATTATTAAATTTTTATTGAAAAAAGTGAAATTTACAATGGTTTTCCTTCGTCATTTTTGATGTGTGTAGTTATAGTTGATTTAGAAATAGTGTCCTTGTATTAAGTGATTATAGAAAAAATAATTAAATTTGTTAAGCGCAAAAAGTAATTACTGCTCCGCGTCGCGCATCTGTTAATTTCTTTGTTGTAAATGGTGTAGTTTTTGTTCATAATACATAAATAACTATTATATTTTAGAGTAGGAGAATACATACCATGGACAAAAATTGCAAGACACTTTAAATACAGGGAAAGATCACAGTTACATCATAGGTTTAAATACTTTTTGAACCAGGTTGATAAAAAACAAGGAAAGTTTTCAATGGCCGAAGATTGCATGATTTTCCTATGTATAGAAAAATTTGGAATGGCCTATCATAAAGTTGCAGAATATTTAAAGGATAGGTCTCGTACCCAAATACGAACTAGGTAAGAATTTAATCGTTTCGTAATGCGAAATTACTTGTGTGTTAATATCATCGATGTAATATACTAAGGATGGAACTTATGAATAAATATTTATGTCCAAAGTAGTCAATAACACTGGCCGATTATGGTTTCCGGAATATCAGTGGTGAACGAAAAAAAAATCTTTTGGTACATATATATGTACAATAATTATTTATTTTCGTTATTGTTTACATATTGGTATTTATTCAATGAAATAATTTCGAAAATAGTCTAAAAAGTTTACTAAAAAGTCTTGAAAAAATGAAATTTTTAGTTGAATATATTTTGAAAATTTTGTAAAAATGTTTCGTAAATTTTTGGACAGAAAAGCAGTATAATAAAAAGTTACGTGACGGTACCCCAACCAAGACCTGCCATCTATAGGATAAATTATCGTAGAGCAAATTGGGATCTTTTCCAAGAACATGTCAACCAAAACCTTCCTGAGTTAGGCATCATGTCAACACATAACCAAGTTGACACAGGGATCTCCAAAGTTGAGAAACTTCTTCAAGAAGCCTCATCCCTGGCTATTCCTAAAACAAGATACAATCCATATACTCCAACACTTCCGCCGCAAATCATCGCGCAAATCAAAACCAAACGCAGATTACTCAGAGAGTATAAAAGATTCAGAGACCCCCTTATCAAAACAGAATACAATAGGGCTCTCGGCGGTCATAAGACTCGAGCTGAACAAGCAGAAACAAAGACAGTGGATGCGAGTCACCTCAGACCTTGACTACCGGGATGGCTCTGCATTCTGGAACAAACTCAAAGTCCTAACAAGACAAAAAAGTCAGCCACGATCTCATCTCAAAATCAATAACGTCATCCTAAATAATCCACAAGATAAGGCCGAAGCATTCAAAAACACACTTCAGGCCACCCTCGTTTCACCCAATAATCCAAACTTCAGTGAAAGATCCAAAAGAGCCACCGAACGGAGAGTGGAAGATATATTCTACTATCCTCAGCCACTTGACGGACCACATCCTCATCCGATGATGGCGCCAGTGACTGAGGAAACCGTCAGTCAGATGTGTAAAATAGGAAAAAACACGTCTCCTGGCCCAGATGGCATCCACAGAGGATGCCTCAAAAATCTTCCACAGAATATTATCCCGTTGCTCACTAATATAATCAATGCATCTCTTGCGCTGAGCTACTTTCCTATTCCTTGGAAAGTGGCCAGCACTGTCATGGTCCCTAAAAAAGGGAAAACCCTTACCAACCCTGAATCGTATAGACCAATTTCGTTACTGAGCACCCTAGGTAAAGTCTACGAGAGGATCCTCAGGGAGAGACTCGTAGAATTCCTAGACGCTCACTTCCTCATTCCAAACTACCAATTCGGATTCAGGGCTGGACACTCCACACAAAATGCATTGGTTGAAGCAACAACCTTCATTTCTCAATCCATTAACGAAAGGAAGCACGTCGTAGGCATTTTCCTCGATGTTCAGAAGGCTTTCGATCAAGTCTGGCACGCAGGCTTGATCGAGAAACTCCACCTTGCTGGACTGCCAACACCTTTCGTTAAACTAATAAATTCGTATCTCTCTCATCGGACGGTTCGGATCAAAATAGGAGAGCACCTCTCCACTCCACTCCTCAAGCAGGAGTGCCCCAAGGCTCAATACTTGCTCCAATATTATACACAGTATACAATAGCGACATCCCCCGCCCACAGCAAGGATCAGAGTCTCTCCTCCTATTTGCTGATGATACAGCCATTCTTACTTCAGGTTCCTACAGGGAAGGAGGGCGACGGTCTGTATTCGAGAAATCGCAAGATTATCTTGACAGAGTCGTGAGGTGGTGCAACAAATGGAGGGTTACTTTAAACCCCTCCAAAACACAAGCAATCCTATTCAGACCCCCATACGGACGCGGCCTTCAGGGCCGGGTGACACTTTTGGGAGAGGACCTTATTCTCAGGAACTCAGTTCTCTACTTGGGAGTTCGTTTTACGAGAACTCTCAACTGGAAGGCTGACGTCCAAGAATCCCTTGACAGGATGAGAAAGAGGCTCAACCTCCTGAAAGTGTTGGCCGGTAAACTAGGAGGAACGTCCACTAACACATTGTTGCACACCTACAAGACTTTTATCAGACCGATTGTCGAATACAAGGCATGCGTTTACCTCTCCCTGAGGAACCACGAACTCAATGCCATCACCGCCACAGAGCGTAGAATACTACGTTTCTGCATGAGAAAAGACTGGCTCTATCCATCGGCCCACATATATGCAATAGCTAACATCACGCTTATTAAGGACAGAATCCTAACCCTCAGTAGGAAGTATGTCTTAAGAACCATAGCTGGCTCGAACAACCGAGCAAAACAAACATTAAAGACACCTTGTTCACATAGAGGGCAAATACTCACCAGGCATCCCGCAAAAAAAGTTCCATTTCCTCCAGCTAAACTTCTACATAACGCTGGACCTGAACTTCCTGAGGAGTATTTTGATATTTTAGAATCTTTCCCCATCTACTATCGCAGATAAACTGCGCACCAAAAACGCTGATAAAGAGCCGTTCCTACTGTATGGCTGGTAACCCTGAAGTACCTCACTGCATGCTAGGCAATCCCACTTCTTCTTGTGCGTTCACGATTCTTATCGATCACAAAATAAGCCACCTTCTTTTCCCCCCTTCCTTAGCAGTTCTCTGCTTCTTAGGCCTCGTTTCGATCAGTTGACGTTTTATCTCGTAACCACCACAACTCCGTCAAAAAAAAAGGAGTTCCCCGTTCCTTGAAGAGGCGTAAGCCTAAACAAGGTTAAAACTCGAGGTTAGTTAGGTGCTTCGTTGTGTTGGAACAAACCTATTTTTAATGCAAAGTTGTAACATTTTATTTACATGCAATAAAAAATATTGAAAATTTCATACCTTTTCAAGTTTTAAATTTAATTGAACAATTTAATATATTAAAAAAGAGATTTTAGTGTAAAAAAAAAACAAAAAAAAAGACAGTTATCAATGGCATCGAAATTTTATTAAGCGTGGATGCAAAGTTAAATAGCTCCATTTGTACTCCTTTCCCACTTCCTCCTAACAATATCTTTCATGATGGTTTTAAGCCGACGGCCACGATTTGAGTTTATGCAGTTGCCCTCTTCAGGAGTATTTTGAAGTATAATAACCGTGACCAAATGGCCCATTTGAACTGTCCTTCTATATGCGCTTATTTTCTTTGTATGTATGTTCACATTAATGACCTGTCAAATTCGAATATCGCTACAGAGGGTTGGTACAAATATCCTTCTTAATAGTTTGCATTCAAATATTCTCAATTTTTATCAGTGGTTGAAAGGGTTCGCGTTTCACATCCATATGTGACCACTGGTCCAATTACTGTTTTGTAAATTTTAATCTTAGACTCACGATTCAGTAACTTACTTTTCATTAAGTCTTTGTATGCATAAAAGCACTCAGTTACCGCTAAGAATCCGTGCTTGTATTTCTTGACTGACGTTGTTGCTGTCACTTATTATTGAGCCTAGGTAGAGAAATGTGGAGGCATAGTCGTAGGTATGGTTGTCTACCTGAAGAGTCCATGTCGATTCGATTTTGTGCACTCCATATATTTTATTTTTCTTTTATTTATATTTAGACCAAATGCAACGGCTTGCCACTTTAAATCTATAGCTTTTTCACTTAACACCCTTCTATTGCGGCTATTATGGTAACATCATCAGCATATGCGCATACCCAGGCCCGACCAGAGGGGGGGGCAGGGGGGGCAAAATACCCGGGGCCCAAAGGGGGCCCGGGCCCGGCCGTCGTTAGCAAATTTAAAAAAATTCCTTTTATTAAAATATTTTACAACAGATTGAATTTGCTTGCGGTTTTAATTATTAAATTATTATAATGAATATTATGCATTTGGAAAAGGCAATATGCAAGAAATTATTTCTTCGTATAAGTTACAATTAATAAAAATATATCGGGAATACATTGCGCGTGGAGCCCCTGATCGGAAGCTTGCTCTATCGGCCACTGCCACACGATTCGCAGGCGCGACGTCTGTTTTGTTTACGAGTTTACGTCCTGACTCTCTAAAGGCCCGTTTTCACGCTACGTCTTATTGTACGTTTTGTGGGTCATATAAAACGTACGACAAAACGTACGTTTTGTCCAGTGTATACACACTACGTGTTTGGATTTCATTTCGATTCGACAAGACGTACGTTTTGCTGTTTACACGCCACGTTTTATTGTATAGGATTTGTCCTATCCAACAAAACGTACAATAAGACGTAGCGTGAAAACGGGCCTTAACATTCCCATTATACCCCCTTCGTCACAGGTTTCAATTGCAATTTTCGGCAGTTCGAGTTTAAATAGGACGTTGAACACAGCTTTGGTGTTATTCTGTTGTTTACTTTCGGTTTTTAGTAGCTGTTATGTGATTATTTAAAAAGATTCTGAAGATTATATGTGATTATATTGAGAATAACAAAATAAGGTAAGTTTTCACAACTAAAACTTTAAAACTATATGTAGTTATAATGGGCCTCCTAGTTCTAATCTTGTATTCTGGCAGAGATTATTCGTGAATTTCGCGAAGTGCTTTATTATCTGCCTAACATGTCTGTTATTTTATTTTATGTTCTCTCCAATGATTAAATGCTATAACATAAGTAAGATTATGTAATGAATTTATTTAATTACAAATATATATTAAGCATACTGTCCTGGATATGATATAGCTTCAATAGAAACTGTTGGCGAAAGACAGTTTTTAGGTGCAAATGGTCTTGTTTTTTGTAATTAAATTAATTCTAGATGTGGTTTGGATGAATTTTTTTCTGTGGGAAAAGGACAAATATAGGGCCTTTCTAACCTCTATCCTCTAACGGTTTTTTTTAATCAATTAGCTTACATAGGTTTTCATTTTTTTTTTTAGAATTTAAAATGGAATACCGACACAAATCTGGGGCCGTAAAGAGGAAAGAAAAACATGAAAGA